CATGCTTTTTGAGACTGTATTACGACTCGTATAAGCTTAAGACCCTACGATCCAAGACAGAATCTCTCGGTATTTACAGGGTTTTCGATATCAATTCGCAGCAACACAAGCACAGACATGATCCGTTTCATGGCGGAGGTTGGTCCAGGGGGGGGGGGTTACCATATATATATATATAAGAGACAGAGAGAGAGAGAGAGAGAGAGAGAGAGAGACAGAGAGAGAGAGAGAGAGAGAGACAAAGGGAGAGATAGAGAGATAGATGAGATAGAGAAGCATGCGTGCATGCAGACATACACACGTATGTATATACCTAGATGTTTACATTCACATATGGATAGTATAGTCGTGCTCTTTATAGCTTGATCGTACATGCTATAATTCGGGGCTGTGTTCTCATGTAGAGGCTTGCATTGGTCGCCAGATTATTTTACACGACGGCTGCACCAGTCCTCCGGCCACATCCCAACAAATCAACAAAAATGTCTGTTGTCAAGCAGGCTGTTCAGGAACTCTTGGCTCTGTTGTGGCAAAGTCGTAGATTATAATGGGACGAATCAAAACAAGCAACGACTTAAGTATACCTCTCAGCAAACTAGCCAAGGCTCATGTTGCTCCTGGGAAGCGCCATGTCCAAATATGGCTTCACCAAAGCGGCCGACACAACTGGACGGAACCTTGACGTAAAACGTTCGGAAAGGGTGTTTCGGAGGGGTGCGGTTGAAGTCCAAGAAGCTGCAAACTCAAACCCTAAACCCAGATCTGCAGCCTGAACTCTAATGCCACTTCTCACTGGGTTTGATGTTGAAGGCTTCGGCTGACGACAGATCACGTCGTGAACATGCGAGGTGAATGGAACAATTCAGGTCCAAATCATAGGCTGGGAGGCAGCTACATAAATGCACGGGCATATGAACAGACGCATGACTACGTGAGCTGCTGGTGCATACGGAACTATTGGCGTGTTGATTTGCCGGGTCACTGAAAGTCTTATGTCGCTGCATCTACTTTGTCTGTGTGTTCGCGCCGCCATGCATTCCCCTTCTTCTTCTCCTAGTTTTGCACCGCTCGACAAAGAACTGGGGCTGATCGACAGAATCTGCCCCCGCTCCGATTCCAGATGATGATTTTTTTGGTTGATTGCTTGGTATGACCCGGTGTGCAACCGGCAATCTACAGTCCCTAGATTTGCCTACCACTATACGACATCGTTCTACCCGAGAGCTAAACTTTCTCACTGCTATCCCGAGCCTAAACCTGCAGCTAGAAATTGGCATCCGATCATTATGCCTTGCAACGAAGCTTATCCTGGACCCATAAAACCTACCTTTTTAGGGTTCCTTAGTATTGCTTCTTTATGTAAGTCCTTAAGAAGGAAGGTTCTTTGGGGTTTAAGGATAAACTTCCTCACCTCTTCCACCTCTGAACGGGGCCAAGCAGCTTCACTGGTAGCGACACCAAGGCCTCCAGCACGAATGTCTCCCGAAGTCTGCCTGCCCCCATTTTCCTCGGGTGGCGGGGAGTCAGAGTTCTCCTATCTAGCACTGACCTGTTCGCCTATGTCTCCACCAAGGGGCCTGTAGCCCTCTTCAGCAGCGTCCGCAAACTGCTCTGCCGGGAAGCGACTTCCATCCCGCAGCCATCTGGCAAGCAGGAGAAGTTGTCGTCCCCTAAACCTTGCAGCCTGTAGCATTTCCGTGTTCTGCAACTTGATGCAAACTGATGCCACAGCAGGCGCAACGGTGCAAGCTGGCTAGCTGCGGCTAGCTTACTACTTAGATAAGAAGGCTGAGAGCTGCTCATGATCTGTGCCGCGGGTATTCAGTCGACTGGCCGACTCTACCTATGAATGATGATTTCGCTTCTTTGGGCTACTCCATTAGATGCTGATCTCGGACGACGACATCTTGAGCTGAAGCTCGAAAGAGCTTGGGATTGGTTTCAGACTACACCCTTGACACCTGCGCAATGCCACACCAGCAGCGCCAGCTGCATCCTGTGCTTCCACGCAAGTCACGAAGTCGCTCACGGTACCTGCGGCGATCCCAAGAACTTGCTTCAACATGTCTCCTTTGCCGATGAAGAGGTTGCCTGGGGACAGAGAACTTAGAGCAGACTCTTGGTCCTTCGGGCATTGTGACTCGGGCGAACAACACTGGTGGCTGGCTCACCGAACTCTGCGAGATTGCTGAGCGAAGCAAACAAACGTCCATAGATGAACTATTGGAATTTTGGAAGTATACGTGCCATCCAAGAAGGCTTTTGACAGCGGCCCTGCCGTCCGGAAGAAAACACATGACAGAGAGGGGCACCGTTCGGCAAACGAACGAAATGCTCCCATGCAACGGCATAGACACAGCTTCCCTGGCATTTCTGCTCCCAGCAGTCAAGGAATGGTTTGGACGACCTTAGTCAGCACAAAGGAATTTCGGGACGGGCCGATGTCCAACTGATACACAACCCACCTGTAGCCACGCACCTGTGAGCAAGGCACGCATGTGCGTGCAGTGGAGAGCGGGAAATTTATGTTCAAGCGTGTGCACACGTGTCGGCTTGTGTGTATGTATATATATACACACCACCACCAGAAGCATATATGTATGCAATTGTAGATGCATAGCTGTATAAATGTATACATACATGCATACAGTCTTGACTTCTGTACATTACATTTCAGCACAGACACACGCCTCCGACCTCACCTGTTTTGGAGCTTTCCTGTAGCACGAGAATTTAGCTGCACAACGTTGCGACCCTAATTCGGCGTTTCGCAATAGGGAATCCTTCTATTTACACCATATTAACATCAGGCGGTAGGATCCTTACTATAAGGACACATACATCGGCAAGCCTAATTTTCAGAACCCACTCAGCATCACTCAGCTAACCTTGGCATTCCAACGTCAAGCCGCAAGAAGTCAGAGAAGGCTCCAAAAGCTGGCTGGAAGCTCTCCACCCAGTCGGGCAAAACATCGTTCCTGAGTTCGGGCGGGAAGGTTTCTAAACAGAATCCATTTTGCCCTAGCCTATTAGAACCTGCTTTTCCGTAGGGTCCTGGTATATACCCTAGTATGATTTACGAAGGCAAGACTCATAGATCCTATACAGTAGCCTGAAGATCTTTGAAGGCAGAGCGGACCGGCTTTGTGCCCCTTGTCTATCAAGTGCCACCCATAGGGGATTATGATGATTATGCTTAAGGATTCGATTTGGTTGGGGCGTGCATGGGTTTAGAGTGTCCAGTGTTTGGAGATTGAAAACCTAACAGAGGACAGCATCCCAAACAATCCCAGGTTGCAGGTTCATCAGAATGGGCGCCCGCAGAATGTTGTCCACAACATACTGGAGCATCTCCTTTCATCATGGTTGTGGTGGGGCTTAACAGAGGGATCTAGGAATCTAGGGTTGTTTATAAGGCAAGGAAGCCCAACGCCGCGTTAATCCTTCAACATCCGCAGTGCTTGTTTTAAAGCTGGTGATCTTGTTTGGGGACGGGGTGAGCCAAGTTGAGGCCCTCAGCTCACATCCATCTGCAGGGCCGGAGGTCTCCAATAGCTTCACCTGATGGACCGAACCAACTCAGGCGGTGCGTGACCGAGACGCTGAACCAATGCCTCCATGCAAACCAGCCACCAATGCCAAGCCTTAGCCTATGCTCCCAAGGTCGACACTATGCTATCACAATACCCCGACGTCCTCCGTCTCCATCGCTCGTGAGGCGGCCTTCTGCCAGGTTGAGGCTGCGCTGTGGGCGGCAGCCAAAATGTGTGCTTTCTCGACCTCTTGCTGCTTATGTTTCGCAATGTTCAGCTCTGCGAAAGCAGCTTACAAACCTTTGCAACCTGTACGGGAGGGTTGAGCCAGCTTTAGAAGGCTTCCAAGGGTTTTTCTAGTTTGCAAACGTGAAAAACTTAGAACAAGTGTTACCTGTTCAGTGCGGACCATGGGGAGGGGAAGCATCACAGATTCTAAAGCTTTAGCCTGACATGTCATCTGTGTTAACCTGTAACATCATGAAGCCCTTTCACAGCTGACCCCGACGCCCTGAATCTGACGCATAACATCCATGCCGGTCAGAAAGCCGTCGCCCCCTCATCGCAGCTGTTGACTGCGGCTGCTTGGTCCCAGGCGATCTGACCTTCCTGGCCAAAGTGAGATAGCTTGTCAGGGTTTAGGGGCTTAGGGTTGTCAGTTTAGGGTTTCGGGTGCAGATAGAAAGAGCATTTTGCTACTGCTACGTGGCCGTACACCTGACTCACTATTTACAACCGTCCTGGGATGTCACCGCGGCTCCGAAGTGGTCCATGATTGCCGACCTTCTTCTGGAAGGCTCTTGAAACTTGGGGCCAGCTAGGGGTCCAGGGTCGGAGAGTCTCTTCATGGGGGTGGGGCAAGTCTAGTGCTACTTGGAGGTTCATTGGTAGTTCTACGTGGGGCTATAAGTCCCCGAATAAGTATAGTTACCCTACTTATAACCCCATTTATAACTACCCATGATCCTCCAAGTAGAGGGTTCGAGGAATTTCAAAGACAGGGAAAGTTAAGGCGTCCGAGGAGCAGGGACTCCGATGTCGGTACTTGTGCGGCTTTGAGCTCCGTGCAGAAGCGGCTCAGGTCCGACTGCAGCTTCCCACTGCCGGCCTCAGTGGGTTCTTAGGGGGTTGAGGTGTAGAGTACTGGGGTATATGATAGGATCATTTTGCAGGCTACAGCGGAATCACGTCGCTAAGCATGCGATCGCAGCAGCAAAACCCCACAGTGGTTGAAACGGCTTAGGTTTCCGACCCTCTTTCACCGTTTCAATCACAAGCAGCATCCCCTAGCATCGTCTATCTCCTTGCGGACGTCGTCCTTGCTGAACTCTCAACCTTCAGCCCCTATGTCAAGCGTCAACTCCCCGAGTCCGAACGCCGCTCCCTCAAATCCCCACTGGCACCAAACCGTGAACCTACTCGGTGAATCCAAAGGCCCCCAGTCCTTGCAAACCGAAACCCGAGCCCCCAAGAAACCCTCGCCTTGTGCACGAATCGGCCCATCATCTTGGCCAACTCGTCGCTATTCCGAGCCAAGAGTTCCCCAAACCCAACCTGCAAGGCTTCGGAACCTGTGCTAAACACATGCTTGGATGTACCTACTGCAACCGTCGCTAGAGCTAGAGGCCTCAAGTACTCCAGAAGAACTGGCACCTGCGCCTACTGACGCACGTCAGCACATGGGATACTTTCGGTACACTTTCAAAACGGAGATGATGGCTTCCAGTGGAAAGCAGAACGGAACCTACCATCACTATGATGTTTGTCACGAAGCCTCCACGGTGCCCGAAAGTATTTTCACCACTAGCTGGCATTGAGGAAGACTTGCTGCGGTTCTGGGGCTGGGGGGCTTTAACGGTTTACTGATTCAGCCGGGCAAGAGCATGATAGCAACCCTAGAGCCCAAGCTTCCCAAACCCTACCTAGACCCGAAAGCACTTAGGGCCGGGCTCCCGATTGTGATTTCCTGACATAAGTACGTTTGTGGTAAGATAGGGTGTTCAGGGTCCAGGTACACCCTAAACCTAGAAACCTTAAATGCTGCACCCTCACCTTATAAACCCTAAACGGGTTCCTAGAACCCTACACCCTAAAACCCTGCTCTACCCCCAAAACCTACCACAACAGCTGGCCTCGAGCTGCAGCTCCCCGAAGCTGGCAACTGAACACTGCTTGCAGATCGTGCCCTCACTCCTCGATGCTTGGGGTTTAGGGTTGAGCCGATCCAGTTTAGGTTTTTCAGGGTTATAAGGGTTAATTATAGCTACGGTCTCTGCACCGGGATACTTGGACATATTAGGACAGGGTGCCAAGAGGTACAGCGACAAACATCGCTAATGCCTCCCTGAACCCTGAACATCCCTGGACCAAAGCATCCGAGCAGCCCCTTCCCCCTCCGCCCCCCCATGCAAGCCACGTGACAGGTTAACTATGTATGCAGGTATGTACGTATGTATGTATGTACGTACCTATGTATGTACGTGTGCATGTCTGCATGTGCATATAGGTGTAAGTATATACATATATATATATGTA